ACATCTATACATATATACACATATACGTATATAAACATGCACATAATTACTTATGTACATATATACATTTTGATATATATATATATATATATATATATATATATATATATATACATACATGCATGCATGCATGCATGCATACATACATACACATATACATATGTACACGTACACATATATACACAAAACACGTGTACACATATACATATATACATTTACACATATATACATATATACACATCTAAATATATGCATCTACACAAGCATACATAATTACCCATACACATATACACATATACATGTACACATGTATACATATAAACATGAATAGAGTTGTGATTTTAAAATCAGGGGCGCCCCATCAGTCCGAGGCCCCATCCTCGGAGTTCAAGGGTGATAAGACTTCTGGTTTTAAAGACAGGGCCGCCCTATCAGTCCGAGGCTCCGTCCTCGGAGTTCAATGGTGATAAGAGTTCTGATTCTGAAATCAGGGGCTCCACATTAGTCCAAGGCTCCATCCTCGGAGTTCAAGGGTGGTCAGAGTTCTGTTTTTTCAAAATCAAGGGCACCCCGTCAGTCCAAGGCTCCATCCTCGGAGTTCAAGGGGCGGTGAGAGTTTTGATTTTAAAATCAGGGGCGCCCCATCAGTCCGAGGCTCCATCCTCGGAGTTCAAGGGTGGTAAGAGTTCTCATATTGAAATCAGGGGCGCTCCATCAGTCCAAGGCTCCATCCTCGGAGTTCAAGGGTGGTAAGAGTTCTGATTTTAAAATCAGGGCCGCCCCATCAGTCCCAGGCTCCATCCTCGGAGTTCAATGGTGATTAAAGTTCTGATTTTCAATCCAGGGGGTCCCATCAGTCCCAGGCTCCATCCTCGGAGTTCAAGGGAGAGTTCTCATTTTCAATCCAGGGGGTCCCATCAGTCCCAGGCTCCTTCCTCGGAGGTCAATGGTGATAAGAGTTCTGATTTTAAAATCAGGGGTGTTCAAGGGTGATAAGACTTCTGGTTTTAAAGACAGGACCGCCCTATCAGTCCGAGGCTCCATCCTCGGAGTTCAAGGGTGGTAAGAGTTCTGATTTTAAACTCAGGGGCGCCCCATCAGTTCGAGGCTCCATCCTCGGAGTTCAAGGGTGGTAAGAGTTCTCATTTTTCATCCAGGGGCGCCCCATCAGTCCCAGGCTCCATCCTCGGAGTTCAATGGTGATAAGAGTTCTGATATTGAAATCAGGGGCGCCCCATCAGTCCGAGGCTCCATCCTCGGAGTTCAAGGGTGATAAGACTTCTGGATATACATGTACACATGTATACATATAAACATGAATAGAGTTGTGATTTTAAAATCAGGGGCGCCCCATCAGTCCGAGGCCCCATCCTCGGAGTTCAAGGGTGATAAGACTTCTGGTTTTAAAGACAGGACCGCCCTGTCAGTCCGAGGCTCCGTCCTCGGAGTTCAATAGTGATAAGAGTTCTGATTCTGAAATCAGGGGCTCCACATTAGTCCAAGGCTCCATCCTCGGAGTTCAAGGGTGGTCAGAGTTCTGTTTTTTCAAAATCAAGGGCACCCCGTCAGTCCAAGGCTCCATCCTCGGAGTTCAAGGGGTGGTGAGAGTTTTGATTTTAAAATCAGGGGCGCCCCATCAGTCCGAGGCTCCATCCTGGGAGTTCAAGGGTGGTAAGAGTTCTCATTTTGAAATCAGGGGCGCCCCATCAGTCCAAGGCTTCATCCTCGGAGTTCAAGGGTGGTAAGAGTTCTGATTTTAAAATCAGGGCCGCCCCATCAGTCCCAGGCTCCATCCTCGGAGTTCAATGGTGATTAGAGTTCTGATTTTCAATCCAGGGGGTCCCATCAGTCCCAGGCTCCATCCTCGGAGTTCAAGGGTGATAAGAGTTCTCATTTTCAATCCAGGGGGTCCCATCAGTCCCAGGCTCCTTCCTCGGAGGTCAATGGTGATAAGAGTTCTGATTTTAAAATCAGGGGTGTTCAAGGGTGATAAGACTTCTGGTTTTAAAGACAGGACCGCCCTATCAGTCCGAGGCTCCATCCTCGGAGTTCAAGGGTGGTAAGAGTTCTGATTTTAAACTCAGGGGCGCCCCATCAGTTCGAGGCTCCATCCTCGGAGTTCAAGGGTGGTAAGAGTTCTCATTTTTCATCCAGGGGCGCCCCATCAGTCCCAGGCTCCATCCTCGGAGTTCAATGGTGATAAGAGTTCTGATATTGAAATCAGGGGCGCCCCATCAGTCCGAGGCTCCATCCTCGGAGTTCAAGGGTGATAAGACTTCTGGTTTTAAAGTCAGGACCGCCCCATCAGTCCGAGGCTCCATCCCCGGAGTTCAAGGGTGGTGAGAGTTCTGATTTTAAAATCAGGGGCACCCCATCAGTCCAAGGCTCCATCCTCGGAGTTCAAAGGCGATAAGACTTCTGATATTGAAATCAGGGACGCCCCATCATGCCAGGGCTTCATCCTCGGAGTTCAAGGGTGATTAGAGTTTTTATTTTCAAGCCAGGGGCGCTCCATCAGTCCCAGGCTCCATCCTCGGAGTTCAAGGGTGATAAGAGTTCTCATTTTCAACCCAGGGGGTCCCATCAGTCCCAGGCTCCATCCTCGGAGGTCAATGGTGATAAGAGTTCTGATTTTAAAATCAGGGGTGTTCAAGGGTGATAAGACTTCTGGTTCTAAAGGCAGGACCGCCCTATCAGTCCGAGGCTCCATCCTCGGAGTTCAAGGGTGGTAAGAGTTCTGTTTTTTCAAAATCAAGGGCGCCCCGTCAGTCCAAGGCTCCATCCTCGGAGTTCAAGGGGTGGTGAGAGTTTTGATTTTAAAATCAGGGGCGCCGTATCAGTCCAAGGCTCCATCCTCGGAGTTCAAGGGTGGGAAGAGTTCTGATTTTAAAATCAGGGGCGCCCCATCAGTCCAAGGCTCCACAAGCTGCGCAGTTGGCGCAAGCGGCGCAGCCGGCGTCGGCGCACCGGCACATCCATGGGGGTCGGCGCACCGGCGCACCGGTACATCGGCGCATCCGTGTTCCAGCGGCGCAACGGCGCACTGGCTGGCGCATCGGCGCAACCGAGTTGCATGCGATGCACCGACGCACCGCGCAACTGTGAGGTGCTGCACCCATTGCCCCCACGCTCCATATACATATATATATATATATACATGTACACATATACATGTACATACATGTACACATGTAAACATATAAATATATAAACATACATACAAACATACTTATATACACATACATATAAAGGTAAATATATGCATGTACACATATAAACATAAATACACATGCTCTAAGCATCCTGGCATCATCAGCAAAAGAACAGGAACGAAAGCGAGGCGTTCGAAACTTCATACCAGCTTGACAAGCCCGATGCCAGTGCACAAGGACACCAGGGCACAAGGGCACAAGGACACCAGGGCACAAGGGCACAAGGGCACAAGGGCACAAGGGCACAAGGGCACAGGGCACAAGGGCACAAGGGCACAAGGGCACAAGGGCACAAGGGCACAAGGGCGCAAGGGCACAAGGGCACAAGGGCACAAGGGCACAAGGGCACAAGGGCCCGGGAACAGGAGAGGACCGAAGCCGAGAGAGCTACAGGCGCACAGCTGTAGTCCACTGCACTAGAACCTTGAGCAACAGGCATGGATACATGCAAGTGATACGTGAAACAGACAGGCACCTGGATGTGTAACATTCAGTGTTTCACCCCACCCACCACCCCACCCCGCACCCCACACCCCACCCCAGCCCACCCCAAACCAGCTCTAGTTGCGTTTGCAAGAACCAACCCCGCATCAGAGCATTAAATGAGCATTAAATGAGCGTTAAATGAGCGTTAAATGAGCATTAAATGAGCGTTAAATGAGCATTACATGAGGAGGTGGTGATAAGCGGGGTTGCTCGCTCTACCACCCCCCGCCCCGCCCACCCCACCCGCCCCGCCCGCCCCGCCCTGCCCCGCGCCGCGCCCCACCCCCACAACTCACAGTGGGCAGCTTCACGGCACCAAGGTAGATGGTGGGCCGCCATATAAAGCTCATTTAATAGGCATTTAGTCAAGATTGCGGGGTAGGGTCCAGGGGTAGGCTTGGGCAACCTATGACCCACACATCACGAACCGGAAAAACAGGAGATTGAAGTTATGCTCAGTGTACAGACTCAGACAACACAAAAAAAGATCGTTCCTGTCATCTTGTATGCAAGAGCCGCAAGCAAATTCAATCAGAACAAAACGCTCTCGGGGTGGCCCATACATACCTACATACCTAAATGCCTACATACCTACATACCTGCGTACATGCGTACCTACGTACATATGTACGTACGCTCGTACGTACAGAAAACGTACTGAATACCACATACATTATACATGCTTACGTAGTCTCATATTCACAGTGCTTACAGTGCTTACATACATACATGCATCCATACATACATACATTATGCATCCTTACACACATACACTCATATATTACATACATGGTGCAATGTAGTGGCGTGTAGCGTACCGCAGTACAATGCAGTTTGATGTCGTGCAATGTAGTGTAATGCGGTGTAATGTGATGTAATGTAATGTTGTGCAAGGCCATGGAAGGCAACGTGACGTAACCTAACGCAATGTATGCCGGCATGTAAGTATGTATGTAGGCATGTGGGCATGTAGGCAAATAGTTTTGCAGGTACGTGGGCATGTATGCATGCATGTCTGTATGTATGCAGGCAGAATGTATACATTGATACATGGCAAGATATTTCATGCCTCAAGGCTGTCTACCCTCTGGTTCCCCAGCCAGATTGGCGGGCCAAGCTGATTGGTCTGGCCTTCCGTGTGAGTCCCTCCTGTGCGGACATTACGGATTTGGGATATCGAGATCGCAAGTTTCTCTGAAAGCAGCTGATGGTGGTTTGGACATCATATGAGGACAGCTGTGGAAGGCCACGAGCTAGTCGCTACAACGTAGAATGCGTCCATCCAAGATGTCGTCGAGCGGCTCGCTTTCTGGGTGCATTGGGCCGACTTGCCTTGTTCCAGTGCTTCTCGAACTTGTTCTCCTTGGCTCAGGCTTCACAGCTCTTCCGACATACCGCACGAACCCAAAGCAAGCATAAGCAAGTGCCTAGTAGCAAGAAGCCGCATGCGCCTGCTGTCGAGTCTCGAGCTTCTGATTCGCTTTCTGCAGCGCGATGGAGAGCCACATGGAGAGGATCCTACCTTGAGGCAAGGTGGGAGAGAGGCGGACCGAAGCCTTTCACTGTCACCCCGAGAGCCAGTTAGCAGCAAGCAGCCATCACGACGAAAACGGCCCGCAATGAACTCCAAGGCGGCGACATTTCTCGTTACGGCCTCGACCACTCATATGGAAGCTCTCTCCCTCTAAGCCAACTTGTGGCAAACACGCCTCGCTCAAGCTTGAGATTCCACGTGCTCCAACAGCTGCAGCTGCAGATGGCCTATGTTCCTGTTACGTTCTGACAAAGCGTGCGCCTCATGACACACGCTCGCATCGTTGCGGACCGACCTCACATCACAGCCAGGAGTACCGAAACAAGGCAGGCAAACTTTGCACAGAAGCGCCACCTCGCTGCCCCGAAGTTTGTAGCTTGCAACGGTCTTCACATCCCTCCTCTTCTGGATTCCGGAGATGCTTCCCTCAATTGTGGTGGCCAGGAGCTGTGAAGCGAACTTCAGGCACTTCCAGCCTGCATAAGCCAGGTCCGCGACTGTCACGACTGACTTCTGGGAGCCAACGGTCGGCTGAGAACTGCCCTAAGTTTCTGCACTTTGCATGACGACAGTCTTGTGAATGTTTCTGGGGCTCAGTACTTTCCAGGCTTCCTTTTCTCTCTGAACAGTCCGGGCCTTCTGGTTGGCTGATTGCGGCGAGAAAGATTTCCCCTGAGCTGCAGACTGCGCAGATCGTCAACTGCACTCTTGCATAAACAAGCAAGCTTGGATCACGCCACATGTTTCGGAAAAAACTGCCACACCTCATCATTTCAGTGCTGACGCTGCCCGATCCCCCAAAACACCTGGTGCCTGCCTTGCTTCGTTTCCAAAGCAGTTTGAGGCCAAGATTCTGTCGTCTTTGAGCTCCTATGCAAACAGCATCTGCGAAATGTAAGAAAGGTCTTGAGTCTTGAAGCGTCTACTCTGTTACAAACTTCAAAACGACAATATGGCACAAGGAAGAGCGGGGTATGAGCAAGGATGCAGTCACCTGGCTCAAGTACTGGGTCATCTGCCAGCTGTAGCTGCACTTCGCAACATCGTGCAGAATCGATAATGCATAGCTCCGATCGGTACCTCAACAGTCCCAACGCTGCTCCCACTCATTCCGCCAGCAGATTGAGTGCCTCTCCTGTTTTCTCAAAATCTCGAGCCACTCGCCATCCCTCGTGCCCCGATCCCTCTAAACCGGTGCTGCGAAGCGGCGCATTCGCTGCTTTATCGGCTCGAGCTCTGCCACAGTGCTCGGAATCGGAGCGACGAAGGTCTTCGCCAGGTCCCACCACAGCTCCTGAATGGAACGCGAGTGCATGCCTGCGAGCACGTGAGTCGATTGCCTTGGTTTCGATGCAGACTGAACTCCTGCTCCACGAACGCTTCGGGATCCACGAACTTCAAGCTCGTTCCTGAGAACTCTGTTACTCATGGCAGCGAAAATCCCCAATGAAAGCCAGCGTTGAACTATGAAAGGCAAGGGACGGTGCGCGTCCATTGCAGCTATGGCAGCAACTTGTGGGAGACCGGTCTGGCAGTGTCTACAAACCTGTAGCTGTGCGTGCTGGCGTCTTGAGAATGTTGCCTCCGTGCGCGGGTGCAGCCTCTACGCAAATCTCTCTCTACACTTGCGAGGGGGCACCGGGGCCATACCGCATAGCTTGTAGGTCATGATTGTCCATTGCTGACCATTGTCCATGCTGAGCCCTGCTGCTGGCCGGCAAAAGCCTCCCGCAGCGAGGGCCAAGACGGGAGCTGGGGGGAGCTGGCTAATAGCTGCAGACGGGCTGCCTTGCCTTGCGTCCCAAACCCTTAACACCGCGACCGGCAGAGCCCGACACCTCGCTGCCCCAAGTACGCTGAGCACAGCTTGGTCCAGCTCGGCCACGACTCCTTGGAAGAATCTCGACAAATCGGAAACTCACAGAGGGGGCACATCCAGTGCCGTGTACACACGGACGATTGTCCGAGTATGATGCCTTTGGTCGTGCCCTGAAAAGTGGCCAAGTGCTTCTGGTAAAGCTGCATCACTGCCTGTATCGACGGCAGCTCGGGTTGGACGCAAGCCTATCGCAAGAACTCAACCGCCTCCGTTCTCGGCAGGGATGGGTACTTGATGGCAGCTAGCCGGACCATCGCGTCACGAAACTGCGTAAGCAACATGTGCGGGGAGCTTCCGCAAACCTGGCAGGAGCACAGCGGCAGGAGGCAGGCAACCGCCGGCAGAGAGATTAGGCTTAGCCGGAGTCACGCGGCTGAACGTGACGTCGACCTGCCCCCGAGGCTGCACGTAGCGCTTTCGAAATAGCAGACAGTGCGCTCAAGCAGCTGGGATCCGCCTTGGCGGGAGTCAGCCGCTCGTCCAGGAGCGCTGCATCCATTGCCTCAACTTCAGAACGCAGGCTTGAAAGCCATGTGGCACAGGCCTGGGGAACCAAGGAGGGCTACAGGGAGAAGAACAGCCAGTGGGGGGGTTCAGAGGGAAGGGCTTCACTGACATCTCTCGATGCTCATGGATACTGAATTCACCCGGCAATCCAGGACCACTGCAAAAGCAGATAGAAACGAAACGCCTCTCTGCGCCGGATCTCGTGACTTGCCGTGGGCAACATGAAAGCATGCTGGGTACGGCGCCATTCGTGTGAAGCGTGTGTTGGTGAGCCTGTCAAGAATACGGCCACTTATACACATGTGCTCCAGCTCCAGAAACAAAGGGTGAAGGGACGAGAGACTAGGCGGCGAGTTGTAAGTCTGCTGGGACAGGGCTGGTGTGGTTCAGAGGAAGCCAGCATGTTCAACATGACACGGGACCGGTTCACCCAAGGGTAACTCCGCAGTCATGGCTTGCTAGTGCAAGGGAGATGTATGACTCGCTGCCAACAACTTCCACGAAAACGACGACGAACTGCTCTGACGGCCTGCCTGGGCTCTTGCAATGCCGTAGTGCCTTGACCTTGGAGTCATTTCAAGTGAAGGAGAGGGCTGAAGACCCGCTTTTAGAGAGTAGATGACGTCAAGAAGTCACACTCGCACATTGAACATCCCCTCTTGCTCGCCCTTGCTTGAGCAAGGACACACGGTCAGGCTTTCATGGATGCACAGGGGCCGCCACAAGCATAGAACTCGAAAATGCACTGCAGCACCTCCCCCCAGGCTTCCAGCTACACCCAGGAATTATGCACTGACCTCGCACGATGCGGCCGACCTCCTGAACACGGGCCAGGTTTTGTGGTGAGGCCTGTGCCACTTGACTTGAAGAACTCTCCGTGTACTCAAGCTCAAGTCGACATATGGGGTCGCTTGACAAGTCTGCGCAAGCATCTACGCGAGATAAGGCCATGGCCCAGAATCTTTTGGAGATATCCGCATATCTGAGGTCCCCACCTGAGGCACTTCAACGCTGGCGACCTTCTCCTCCGCGCACCGCGAGCCAGGAGCGAGTTTTCGAGACGAAGCCAAGCAAAAGCAAAAGCAGTCCTGTTCGTCCAGGGCCTGGCATCGGCCGCCAGCACTGCACTTCACAGGATGAGCCAGAAACTCCACCCGCCTCTCCGGAGTGTTCCGGATGGGCAGGGTCGCCAAGCATGGCCGCAGACACTAAGCTTCGCGGCTTCTCGGAGATGCTGTGGCTTAGGTCGGGGATGGGCCTTGATCGACATTCGGGCCCCTGTCGGCTTACCTGTGCCAATGGCAGCAAACTGCGAGGGGTCGTCCGCAAGCAATATCAGTGGTTGGTTGGGCTGGGGCTCGCGACTGCATGTTGCCGTCGTCAGCTAAAGCCTGAAGTCAGGTATCCGTTGCATGCAAGTTTCAATGAGCTTCTGTTTCCTTCACTCTCCACCACGTCCTTTGCTACACAACCCGTCCCTGACGTCTACAGCTTGGCGGGCCCTTTTTGCTCGACCTGAGTCCTGAAACGAAGCACACCTTCGTCATCGCAGTCACAGAGGCTTGCTCGCGGGTCTCTCTCACTTTTCACACCTCATACTCCCTCTCCAGACAGCCCTAGGCTCCTTGACGTAAAATCCCTGAACCCGAGATAGCTCAGCTCGCCCCCGCGTCACATGCCCAGATCATGGGCAGCATCCAGCAGAGCCAACGCCTGGTGCTCTCAGGCTCCCAGTGAGACTCACTGCTAAGTGCACATCGTGTCGCTGTCGTCGTCACATTCAGAAGAACTATCCTAGATAGGTCCACCACACATTTACATATATATATATATATATACACAGAATCATCATCGTACTCGCCATCACTTCCGAAGTGATAAAGTTCATTTAGGACGAATCGGTCGGGTTTGCATTCCAGATGCGACGTCCGGGCGGATTTAACAGCATCCGGAGCGGAATAGCCTCTGGCGTCTTCATTCGCTGTTGAAAGCGAGGGTTGAAGGCTTGTCAGAATGTAGCAGTAGCACTCGGCTTCCCGAGTTGCACGTAGCTTGCCCTTGTCTTTGAAGCTCCATTCGGAATACGCTCAAGAAACCTTCATGGATTGCGACCTGAGGTTCGAAGCCGCGATTTTGCTCACCGCAACGACATGCACAACATGCCCGATTGGGTTATCAACTTGCCTCATCGGCATCCTCGATTCCACTGGCGTGAAGATGAGCAACCTCCTGGCCATGCAAACAGATGTCGTTCTAACAAGCAAACCGACCGAACGAGTGCTTCGAAAATGGATTTTTCGAGCGTCTCAGACCCTGTTTCCCCCGCCTGAGCCTTCATCGGCCCGTGCTGGTGCTCGAGACCCGTCTGCAGCAAGGAGAGCTTTGCCTTCGGGGCCGAACCGCCTTTACAGGAACCTACAGTATTTCTACTCAGGATTGCGCCTTCCAGTGGCACAACTCTCAAAGCCCAAGATAAAAGCCCCTTGAACCTGGGAAGCCAAGGCGGCCATCTCGTCCTGCTCCCGCTCCTCAAAGGGAAGGCTGTGTCTATGCAAAAGACATCCCCATGTGCCGACGGAGCGTAGAGCCTCTCGGCTTGGGAAATCTTCAGATTTCTTTTTTAATTCACAGGTATCAGTTGCACGGTCCTCCACCGCATCCAGCATGTCCAGCTCGTCCTCTGAGACCTGGCAAAGCCACAGAGCACCGAAAACATCGGAGCCCAGACGACGCAGCATGAGACCCTGCCTGGGAGCAGCCTTCGCATGCCTCCGAACGGACACAGAATCGAGAAATAGCTGCTACGTGCTGCCACACCGGGATACGCAGAGCGCCTGCTTGGTCTGGGGGACCTCGACTAAGGCAGGCCGCGGCCCTGAGCTTCAATTGGCGTGCACTGCACTGCGGCTGCGGAGCTACTTGCACATTTGCGTAGCTACGGAGAGGAGGCAGGATCGGAGAGGGATGCAAGACAAACCGCTTGCAAATTCGACCAGATGTTCCTCCTTAGCCATGTCTAACTCTGCGATTCCGGCGTTCGCTGGAATTCGCGGCGGCGGCAGCCTAAGAAGCAAAGACAGTAGTTGTGTTTGCAAGATCGTGTAAGGGCGCCAGACCATCGCTTCCACGGTCGATGGCGCAAGCCTCACTGGATGAAGGGTCTCAGGGTCCCATTCCCAACAAAGGCCCACGGGGCCCACGGCTCCGCTCAGCTGCGCTGGCACACGGACTTTGAGGGCAGCACTCGCCCACACTACCTCTTTGGAGCTGGACGGTCACCTTTGCAGCGCTTCTAAGCCTAGGGGCCTAGACCTTGTGTGCGGGCATGCGACTCATCGAGCTGAATCAGGCTCCCTCAAATGAAGCAGCCCCGGCGCCTGGAGCAAAGAGGTGGCAGGGAGAGCGGTCACACCGACCAGGAGGGGGAGAAGGCGTACCTGGCAGCCGAAAAAGGAGCACACCCGGTCACTCGACTTGTGCGGTGGCAAAGCACAGGCCAGCCGTACAAATACCATCATTTTCGGAATGTCGCAGTTCGGTTGGGGTTAACCTGACAAAGCACACAGGGTGCTTAAAGGTAGCTCTTTCATCTCGGCCCATAGACTCGAGAGCACAGGAGGCCGAAAAAGCTACTCCCAGTGTTGAGAATGGATGTGAGGGATGAGAATGTACCGAAAGCAATTTCCGCAAGCTTTTCGGAGCTGTGGTGATACCCAGCCAATGCATAGAGCTACACAGCCCAGCCCCTGGAGCCCTGGAATGCGTGTGACTGGCCTGAAGCGAGGGATGCAAGCGGCGAAGTCTTTCCGCTGGATCCAAACAGCAACAACAATTTACATGCCGGCACTGAACCCACAAACCAACCAACAATCACATACATGCTCTTCACAGGTACTTAACCTTCGTTCCATGCCTCCTGGAACCCCACTTGCTTTATGATGGCAGCACCCTGCGCCTTTTCCACTCAGCACAAGAGATATCATCCCCAGGGAGCACATCTTGAGCTGTCCTTTTGGTTCGAGTGATTGACTGTTCTCGGCAGAGTGTGCATCTGCTTGCTAAGCCGGAAGTGATCCCTGCGGTGCCAAAACTGGGAGGGCTGCGCCGCTAGCAAGCCCGTTCCCAGTGAGCGGAGTCCATTAACGAGCTGGGCTTTGTGGGCAAGGACAAACCACAGGCTGCAGTTATTGGAACTAAGACTTGAAGCCTGCAAGGCTTTGGATAGACCCTAGGGTTGGCCTTTGGTTGAGCAAGGTCATGCCGCGAGGTTCCAGAAGGGCAAAGCAGGAAGAAGAGCAACTTGCTCTTTCTCTCTCGCGTTTCGTGTATGAATCGATCCGATCCGGGAGGTTTGATTGGGGGCACTTTGCCCAGCTTCCGGCCTCCGCAGACAAGATCCTGCCCTGCCTGCCTTCATTCGACGTGCCGGTCAAAAAGCTCCGACAGCGACCTCTGAGCGATTCTCCGTGCTCAGCAAATTGCTGTGCGAGCTGGGGCTGGAGAATGGGGCCTTATGGGGGGCGAAGTGAGTCTGTTTAGGGCCCGGACTGACTGGAGTGGATGCGCAAGATCGCCTGAGCGTGGCCCCTATGAATTCCTTGATGAATGTTCTCCTCATTACGGCCAACATTCATCCGACGATTCCGAGACACAGAGACGACCCTTCTTCTGACTTGGCAGTACCTGAAAATTTATGTAACACGCCAACAGGTTCTGGCAAGAGGCTTCTTCTGACGCCGCTCGTGTAGAGTTTTGAGGAAGGAGGCCTTCTATGCAGGTAGAAGGAACTGTCTGTTCCAAGAGCGACTTGAACCGACGTACCGTCGTTCACCTATGCGCCTGAAGGCCCGTCGTTGGAAGCATGCAGATAAGGGCATCACTGCGAACGATGACATGCAACAGCAATGTGGGCAACTGGGAAAGAGTGTTGAAAACAATGGTCATAGATACAGAACTGTTCCTGAGCTGGGAAATACACGCAGGCATGCCATGCAAAAGACCTACAAGATCCTACAGGCAGTTCCGTATGCCCACCCTGGATTGGCAGCACAGGCACTCCATCTGACCCTTCTGGTTGGCAGGCTTAGTTTCTGGTGCTGTGCCCTGCTGCGACCAAGATGCATTGGCCAGCAGTGACGCGACCGAAACAACCTGTTCGCGAGCATGCAGTAGCTTCGAGGCTAATCTTCGAAGTGTTAGCCTGATCAAAGCCCTTGTCCACACCTGTGGGACTTTTGGCATCTTTGGCCTGTCTGAAGTTGCCTGAGCAAACACGGCCTTCTCCTCTCCGTTCATGCGACAGAAGCATGAACAGCATCTCAGCCGTGCCGAAACCACAACAGATGGACAGACGGCCTCGCTTAGCAACATCATCCACACCGCACGGCTCGGACTGTCCGTGCTTCACCGCCATTGGCCATCATGTCACCGAGTGATCAATATTAACACCTTCAACCAAATGCGACTTGCAAGTGCCCTTGTTGCCGCCTCCAGCTTGGGACATCTGTGGAGCTTGTCGCCCAGCGGGATGGTGTCCGTCACCTTGTGCCCAGGGCAGGTATGGTCTACGTGCAAGGCCCTGAGAGCTATAGCCCGGCAACGACTGGAACGAACACGAGCTGACAAGGACGTGCAAACTCTTTCAAGCCTCAGTTCAGCCCTATCCAACAACCTCGAACGCGACGAGACCAGGTTCCACAGTTTGTAGCTGAGTTCACCGGGGCGAGTAACGTCTTGGAAGCCAGGACAAGGGAGTTCAGCGTGTGCACGACCGCATGGACACAAGGCGACATGGTTGGCCGACTTTGACCACGCAGTGACACACTTAGTTCACCGGGGTTCAGTAACAACCAAGCCATGTTACGCCGAATTAGGATGCCCGCTGGCTTTGGAAGCCAGGACAAGGGAGTTCAGCGTGTGCACGACCGCATGGACACAAGGCGACATGGTTGGCCGACTTTGACCACGCAGTGACACACTTAGTTCACCGGGGTTCAGTAACAACCAAGCCATGTTACGCCGAATTAGGATGCCCGCTGGCTTTGGAAGCCAGGACAAGGGAGTTCAGCGTGTGCACGACCGCATGGACACAAGGCGACATGGTTGGCCGACTTTGACCACGCAGTGACACACTTAGTTCACCGGGGTTCAGTAACAACCAAGCCATGTTACGCCGAATTAGGATGCCCGCTGGCTTTGGAAGCCAGGACAAGGGAGTTCAGCGTGTGCACGACCGCATGGACACAAGGCGACATGGTTGGCCGACTTTGACCACGCAGTGACACACTTAGTTCACCAGGGTTCAGTAACAACCAAGCCATGTTACGCCGAATTAGGATGCCTGCTGGCTCGGAAGCAAGGTGGTTAAGAAAGTCCAGCATGCGCGCAAAGCAGAATGCGCACTTGAGAGCTGGTCACGAAAGCTAGAAGCACGAGGTCCGGTGCTGAGCTCTGCAAAGCGATGTGCACGACAGTAGCGGAGGGAAAGTTTGGGCCGGTGAAGGGTGCAGGCGTTGCTCGTTCATTTAACTCTTGAGAAAGTAATGTGCGAACGACAACTAGAGGTAACTCTGGAGAGAAGACCGCACTTCAGTCGCCGAACGTCAGACACAAACAAAACCAAGGGGGGGAGGGGGGGACCTCATGATAGGGGGGGGGGGGGCCCCCCCCCCCCCACCTTATCCCAGGCACAACACTTTAGGGGAGGGAAGCGCACCTTATCAGTGGAAAACGCATAATGACAAGGTGAAGGGGGGGCCCCCCCCCCCTACCCCCCACCTTAACTCTTGGACGTCCCACCTGATAAGGTGCAAACCCTGTTTTTTCCCTAGTGCCTTAATACAAGTGAATTGCTAAAGGGCAACTCCCGCGAGCTCCACAGAGCTAGCTTTCGTGACTAGTCGCTAGACATCGTCCAAAGACCTATATCTGCACACAGTTTTTCAGGAATCGGGGACGGAGGTCCCAAACAACCTTCCGCATTGCCATGCGCCTCTTTCAGAGATGAAGCTCGGACTCAGGCAACACACCGCACACCGCAGATGTACCGCACTGACAGGAAGCACCCAGTCGCAGGCTTGACCTGCCACGAAGTACTTATCGTACAGCCAGTCACGCGTACTCAGGCTTCTCGCCCAAGCTTCCGGCCATCTGTCGGTGTTTTCCAAACTTGCTTTTCATAATCACCCCCTGGAGTCCTTTGCATCGAAAGAAAGACGGTTGTTGGGAAACCTTTGCTGGGAACAGAACAGGTTCTGAGATGTCGTTTTCATTGAACGGCTCCTGAATTCGCCGCGAGGGAACTTGGATGCCCCCCGTTTCTCTCTCTACCAGGTTCTTTACATGGTGCTGCGGGTTGTGGCTTTCCGGCTGGTTAAACCCGAACACGCTTTGGAGTTTAAGCACCCCGGCGGCCGATGTAAGCCAAAAACCGGCGAAATGAAGCACCTCGGCGAATTTATACCACATTTCTTTCGAAAGCCGGCATGCAGGCAACCGGTTTAAGCGGAAAGCCGGTGGAATTTCAACACCCCGACCGACACCAAACGCTCTCCCTCATTCACTCGCTCACTCACTCTCTCTATCCCCCTCTCTCTTCTTCAGCACAGGCAGAGAGGCAACACGTCCGTGCAGCCCCTCGCGCTTTTCCGCGCACTGGGGTGTGTCCAGGAACAAAAGGAAGGCCGAGACTACTTTCGGATCGATTCACCGGAACCCCCACCACAACACCAGCAACACTAAACCCTAACCCGCCTCGAAGTCTAGGGGCGAAACCCCCCTACAGCATGTACCGATCCTCCGTCTTCTCTCTCTCTCTCTCTCTCTCTCTCTCTCTCTCTTGTTCCGCAAGGCATAGCTCTCTCTCTTCTCCCAGGGCGTCAAGCCCGCCCGCTTGTTGCAGGCTTTGAGAGGGGAGTGGAAGGAGCGTAGTTGTTTGACTGAAAGGGCAAGTGATTGCAATTTCGACATGAGTTTCCAGTCATTTACCATGTCTTTCAAGATACCCTAGTACGGGCACTTGTGTTGGATATCACAGCTGCAGCAGAATACCGGGTCATAGAGTATTGCAAACAGGTCCAGGTAGCGTCAAGTGATTCCTGCAGGAAGTATCTCGTAATTGCAGATAGTACAGCGTGTTCTGTGCCGTCTAATATGAAGCCAAGGGCGAAGTCGTACTGAATGACGATTGTCCGGGTGAGGCTTGGGGTTTCGCTTCCGTCGTTATCCAATACCTGCATGTTGGCTAACCTGTACGAAGATGCAGCAGGATTTGGAAGTTTCCCCGGTGTCTGTGGCTGTTTGTGGCGGCTTTGAAGTTTTCGCCTTGGATAGGGGCTTTGTTTGGACAACAAACAGCACATAGCCAATAACACAAGATGTTCACCTTGCACAAATGGGGTCCTTGTCTTTCTTTCCGAAGGGTACAAGAGGAGGGAGTTACCCCACCCCTCCGTGCTTTTGCGCCCCCCATGTTGTATGCAGGGCGAAATTGCTGACAGGGCCTTCTCTCTCTCTTTCTCCCTCTCTCTTGCTTGCTTGCTGCTGGACAAGGTCCGAGATCCATCGGACCCGCGCAGCAATGTTCATCCCCAAGGCCCTCATGGGAGGATGCAACCGGTTGTTGTAATCCCCCGAGCCTGATCCCCGTGCCCTCTATGGCATTTCTTTGGCACCTACGACAACCCCCCAAAACAGAAAAAAAAAGTAGTGGTCAGCGGGGGCAATGACCGCTTACACAAATAACTAAGTTCACAGCGACTACATAACGGCTCCCACATTAAGACAAAGAAATCCGGCCGTTCCCCCACCGTTCCAGGTACTGACTCCAAGTCATCTAATGTAGCCTTGCGGGAAAGTATTAGGCTCGGCTAGTGGATTGCGCACCGTTTGGAAGCAACAAAGGATCAACAAAACCGCATCCAGCAGGAAGGCACCTCGAGCCAAAATGGCTACTCTCTGTCTCTCTCTGTCCCAGGTAAAAGGGGGCAGCACCCCTCTTTGCGCGGTCGCCTTCTTCTTTTGCAGGCTGAAGCGCAAGCAACGTGTCACTCTCACTCTCTCTCTCTCTCTCTCTCTCTCTCTCTCTCTCCCACTATTACTTCTGAACAGATGGACATGACAAAAGATGTGCTCTGAGGCGCTCAGACGACATTCTGGACTACAACGAAGGGCATAATGCTTCGTGTCGTCCCTCCACAAGTGTCGCACAGACGGCAAGAACTAGCTCCTGTGTCCATTTTGAATACGGGTTAGGCGCAAGCACGCACGCTCATAGATGCGTCCAGAACAAACATGCAGACTAGAACTGCAGTGACGACAATGACTACAAGTGGTGTCAGGAGGCTGAGACTCAAACGAAGACGGTTTCCAGTTGCGATGCCATGATGCTTTCGCAAGCCGGGTCCTTGCCGGACATAGACAGGCTTGCTGGGACAGCAGCGGTTGAAGCTTCATGCGTCGAACGAGTACTACTTCCAGAATGCTTAGACAATTCTACGTCTCATGCCAGGTCGCTAGGCCTGGCAAGTCGCCAAATCACTCGAGACAGCTTGAAACGTGCTGCTTGAGACACATGTCGCGACTCATCTATGCATCCCTATCTTGCTTCTCTCTTGCGCTTTTATGCAAGCATGCACAAGCCCGTATACCGCACATACTACTACACATTTCAACATATAGTATCCGGCACTCTCACCAACCACCCATATGATAACTTCACGTGTGTATGTGCATGTGCACATAAATATGTCTATACGTTGTACCATATCAATCGATTCTTTGTTTGTATACACTAACACCTACTGTCTTACATGTCCCGGCAGCCGGCACATATGATGTATCATCACCTAAGATATCACCTAAGTTTCTGCAAGACACTGAGAGGATGCCGTGGACCACCGCACCAAGCACTGCAGACGCACCTCTGGCCTGGCCAACAATGGCCAAACACAGCGACAACGCCAAGGTGAGACAGCGAGAGAGGGAGAGAGAGGGAGAGAGCGTGAGTTGGTGAGTGAGTGAGCGAGTGAACGAGTGAGCGAGCGAGGGGAGCGAGTGAGCGGGTGAGTGAGTGAGAGACGTGGAAATGCGCTTTGAGAGAGGTACATACTGGCGTGTCCTGTCAGGCAGTTGAAAAAGTATTGCAAGCCAAGAACAACCTACCAAGATCGATAAACACGACAACCCTGTATGATTATCATTATCACTGCCACAAGCATCATGAAGAGCGCAATTCCCGTAAATCTACGTATGCTAACACGCAACAGCAACCCGTAATGCAGAACTTTAAGTAGCGAAGTAGCAGTGACACACAAACAGCGTAATGCATGAATGCCAGTACCCTACCGGGGTAGAGGACCTGCCATCCTTTCGATCTCCATAGTTTCATGTTGGACGCGCAGACGAAGAGAACACGAAATGCGAATAGTGAGCGGGAGCAAGTGTCCATCATTGGCGGAATCGACATGACCCGAGATCCCTCTCATATCCAATATCCAAGCGGTGATTCACGCGAATTGCCGTTGCGAACACGAGTGTCCTACACAACAGTACACGAAACTATAGGGCTAGATGAGATCCAACTCTTCAAACATGTGGTAGGGTTGCTGCAAACAGACGTTGACCTCATCCAAAGGCTTGTCCATGATCCAAAGGATAGCAAAAACTCACCCACTTTCCAACTCAGATGACCGTCAGAAAGCATCGGCTGCATACAGGCGTGCGGGTTTCTTCTATGTTCAGCACGTACTTGCCCAACCGATTTCAATGGAATCACTTCCAGCCGAAAATACAAATCGGAGCAGAGAAGCATTTGAAAAACTCGGGAATGGTCTCACAACACGAGTCCAGTAAGACCAAGCTGAGATAGCATGCGATTCTCTAATCCCCACCAATTTGCCCGATTCCACTGCAGCCGTCCCTGGCCTTCAGCTTGTCTGCAGCTTGGCATAGTGTGTCGGCTGTGTCCGCAATGTCATCAACGACAATGCAGGTTTTGCCTTCGCAGACGTCTCTGCGCACGATTGACCGGTACTTGCACTTGAACCCAGCTGCTACGACGACAACTACGATGACGACTATGACTGCGACTACGACTACCAAAAAAATACTAGTGGCTCCAGTGTGGCAGCAGCTACCAGGGAAGATGCAACATACCTCGCATCATCTTCCCTCGCAGTGCCACTGCAAATGACCAGGTCGTCGGCATTCATGCTCTGCTATCAGCAAAGACAACAGAACACCGGTAACAGCACATCATGTACTAAATATTACAGGTTGTGATACAAATGTATATACATGTATGTATATATACATGCACAACATTGTATGTACACAGATATACATGTATGTACATGTATATACACACACTACGACACACGAAAAAGTGTATGTATATATGTATACATATGTATATATACATATATATATGTGTGTATGCATATATACATGCATACATACGGCAAATGCTCGTACATACTTATGATGGAGGCCACTTTGCAAAGCTTGCATGCACTTAAGCCAGCGTGCACCACGAGGCCGGCCTTGCACCTCGCCAACCAAATCCACCTCCAAGCGCTGTGGGCTGTTTGGAGTAGCCCCCAAGCACTGGCTTGGAGTATATATACATAGATATGATGCCTGTGATACAAAGTAGAACAACATAATATAACATAGTATATGAGCGATCATTCAGTGTTGAATGCTAATATGATGGGTAGTGCGTGTGCGTGTGTGTGTGTGTGTGTGTGTGTGTGTGTGTGTGTTTGTGCTGTATACAAAAAAGAGCAGGCATAATGTACGATTAGAAACCATGCATAAGACGTAATAGACATCCAAGTGTTCTACTGTTCCTCTAGTCTCTACTGTGGGGGCCTCCGTCGGCTCGTTGGGGCGACGTCGCTGCCGCGAGAAGATGGCCAGCGGCGAACAAAGCATCTTCGCCATGCCCTGGGCGAAAAAAGAAAGGGAAGGTTCATAGCAATGATAAACATCAGATTCGTGACCTCATCATCATCCAAAAGCTGCCACAGCAAAATACCCAGCTGGACCGCATAAGGCGCCGCTCTCAAGAAAACCGTATATTGGACAAAACCCGAGGTGACGACAGCTATCAAGCGTACCGACCGCACATATGTACATACATACATACATACATACATACATACATCACCATCATCATCCTCGCCGTCGCCAAATGCATACAATATGAAACCAGTAGTAAGAGCAGAAAGAAAATCTGCACATGCTACGGCCGTTTGAGCTTGCCAACTGACCTGGTCCCCGACCGATGCTCGCTTCGTGCCTCCCACATCGGGGCTGACCACCACCTCGTCGTATTCCCCACTGGATCCGACAGCCAGAAGAAAACGACCCACAATGACGTCAGCTTCACGAAACCTAGTCAAGCTTTTTCTACCATCGCGACGGTTGGTCCGCTTGTGTTCTCTGTCAAGCTTCTCCCAACTGATTCAGGGATAGATCTCAGGGCATCACAATATCCTCGGCTGTCAGACCTGGCATAGTCGATGCCGGACCGCAAAGCACTGCGTCAAACCCGTTGAACTGGACCTCGTTTCCGCATCAGGCGATCTATCTCCTTCGCCAGCATCGGCAGCGCCTCGGCAGAGTCGGATTACAAAAGCACTGCCTGCTTTCTCTGAACTCTGAGGAAACCTGAGTGGATGACGTAGATGTTGTCAATCGGAAACGTGGCAAAGCCCTTCGGACAGAGAAGCAGAGCAGCTGACAGGCCACAGCTTATTGGCTCCTCTACCTGTCTCGTCGGACTTTCGGGCCTGGATCTGGCTCGCATGAAGCTCGATGGTCACCACTCTGTGAGCTCCTGCAACCTGCTTTGAAAGGCACGGCATCGCAACTCCGAACTGTTACCTCCAAAACCTGCGAATGACCTGTATCCGAACACAGTTCCCAACAAGTCGGTAACCCTCCTGTCTGATTTTCATCGCATGCTGACCTGCAGCAGGTCTGTCACCAGTCGTGCAGAGATCGGGGATCGGCTTTTCTCCTGGAGATGAGGCTTCAGACAAGGCATCCTTCGCTTGCAATTAGACCACTTATGACAGCTTGGCATGACGATGTCATCAGATGGCGCCACCACCTCCACACCCATCATGATATCCCAACAATCCCGCGATCGTACGGTCCGGTATGCCGCAGCATACATGTTCGAGAAAACACTCGAGACTACTCTTTGAGCAACAAGAACAAAATCACTGTCGACAGACATGTCCGTAAGGATGAAACTTGAGAAACAGCTGTAGAACAAATGTCGAACAGCACGCACCGTTCGCAGACAAGACTTGACAAAACAACGACTTGGAATTGATCAGTTCGATGCGTATACAGACTAAACCATGTACATAGATGAAGATGCATGTGCGTGTGCACGAATACCTGCACGCACATACATACATAAGTACATACGTACATACGCACACTGCACAAAACTACACTATATACGCTACAATACATGCTACATTTTGATACATTTCATTACTGTACTGTACGGTATAGTACAATAGCATATTCCTACATGCATACATTACACACATACCTACATACCTACATACTTACACACATACATACATGCATACATACATACATACATAAGTACAAACATATATACATACATACGTACATGCATACATTAGGTACATAAATAAATGTGTGCATATCTGGGCAATCCGTGTAGATGCAGATGTATCAAGGCTGCGCAGTATCCCCCCTCTCACCCCCGTATTTCTGAAATGCTGCGAAGTCTAGAACCGGCATCTGGCTTTGAAACCGGGCAGACTCTATCAACCCAGGAAACCCTCAGTGGACCAAAGCATATCCATACTTAAACTCATGTGGCTTCGCATGTTCCCGTCCAAAACACACCTGACATCAATACTCAGCACCGTATCGAAGTCGCTGTGGATGATCACACTACATGCCCTTGTTTCGTTAAGGTCGCCACCATCCCTGGAAACTCAGTCTGGAGAAAACACCAGCAAGCTTCAACGCCCATTCGGAGGAGCGAATACACCGTCTAAAAAAGATGCTAAAACGCGCGGACCAGCATCGCAAATCCTGATTACTTGCCTCCTGACTGATCCATACATGCAGACTGCTGACGCCCCGACAACGTCAAGCATTCTACGCCAACCCCATCGATGCCCCGCTCGGATTTGCTAAAATCGTCGCTCTCGAGCCCTCGATGCATTTCCACAGGTCATCTTGATGGTTGGTGTCTGAAATCTCGTATCTCCAATGAACTGGCACATGTGCCTGTAGTCTCCGAATTCGTGCTCCATACTTGTATTATGATAAATAACTCACACCGTTGTAATCCTTGCACCCTTGCTTGTGCCAATGCAAAACACTATGTATCATGGTCCTTCAAAGCCTATATTTAACTGCTCGAAAACACACACCATGTCTCTCCCCACACGAGTTTCTTAGTTCGCTCCCATATAATGAAAATTGGCTTACTATAAATTCTTCTATGTGCCGAGTCAGGAAAACTGACAGCTTGAATGCCACGGAAAAAATTGCTCTCCAAACGACAATGAAGCTCTTATCAATTTTGCCTCATTCAACTCTGGCTTCCTTGATTTGTGCGTGACAACACTGTTGCTACAAGTTCGTCTACGTCCCAAGTGATGAAACCCAACCAACCAGGGCGTAAACTGCAAAATGTTCTCCTTACAATGATTTTTTGTCAGTCGCATCTCATCTTTGCGTGGGTGCTCATGTTCCAACGTACTGGCACTTATGCTCCTGACAGCAGCTACCGTAACCACCACAGAAACCTCGCAATGTTCCACGCTATGATTCCTGGCTGAGTGACAAACAAGCGTCTACTAGTTAAAGATGCACATATGCGTGTGTAGTCGCAGGAATATGCGCATTGTCCCAGAAAATGCCAACTATGCTTTAGAATAGACCCACTGTCGTTTCGCAAAGAAACTGCATAAACGTCTTATTCCTAGGACTATCTATTCTCCTAATCCTTTCTTACAATCCTTTCTTAGCTTCATTCCAATCAACCCAAACTCTGGAAACTTGGTTTACATGTTGACGAAGTGTTGGCGAAGCATAGCTCTCCTGTAACCTTTACTGTGCAACTGACAGCGGCTCCCCTTATAAACCGCAGGGTGTTCAGGCCTTAACACATGCAGTTTACAATATGACGAGGAGGGCCAGAACCATTAAACCCACAGGCAGTTTTCGTAGCTTCAGCCTACAGTTTGATCCAATGAGTGCATATAATGCTGTCGGAAAATGAAATAGTATATATATATATATACATAAATGAATAAGTATATATATACTTATGTATATATATACACTTATGTATATATATATATATATATGCTTACCCCCCCCCCCCCCGTTGACAGACCATGCCCTTGTGACAGTGTACTCTCGCTCAGTGACTCGGCTGAGATATTGTATCTAAACACACGACGACAATCTGTAAAGCAAAACCTTTCCAGTACATATACAACGTATACTTTTAACATGCCATGTACTGAGGACGCATGGACCAGACGCGTGGCACATGAGTTGATAGTTTTGTGGTAGTAGTGACATTAGGATGAATAATAGTATTAGTATTGGTATTAGTACTAGTATCACTAATAGTATTAGTGTTTACTGTAAGTGTATAAACATATAGATCTATATGTGTACATATCACTATGAATAAAAATATATACACATATATATATATAGTAATATATATATATATATATACATATACATATGTATATATATATGTGTGTATATATATGTATGTATGTATATATATATATATATATATATGTGTGTGCGTTAGTGCTCGTCTTCGTGTTAGTGTTAGTGCTAGTGTTAGTGCCAGTGTCAATGTCAGTATTAGTACCACTGCTAGTATAAGTATCAGGCTTCATGCTGGGTTTAATATCAGTTAATAATCGCAGAAGCGCTAGTACTAGTATCAATTTTAGAGTTAGTTTTGATATGTTACTATTCTGATAGTTTCGTAGATCAAAAGATTAGTATATCAATACACTAATGTATTCGAGCAGCAACATATTTGTATACTTGTATATTCGTATATTTGACATTTAAGTACAACTGATGCATGAACACACTGGTATATTGGTGTGTTAGTATATTAGTATATTAACATACCGGTCTATTCGTACATCAGTATATTAGTCTACAAGTATACGTACTATATTCTTGTGTTGTCCAATGACTGGTAAGTATAGCAGTATGTTGTCATATTCGTATACTAACCTGCCATGTCGGTGTACTTGCATATTACAGTAGTTGTATATTACAGTATGTTAACATATTAGTAGAGTATATTCAGACATTAACAAGTAGTGTATTGCTACATTGGTACATGGGTATATGCTTGTCCTAAAACATCAGTACATGAATCCATTAGTATATACCGGCACTTTAAGATAGTGGTATGTATTTTGATGTGCATTAGTATATGCACGTGTCTTGTAGTAATGGTAGTAGTATTCATATCAATATGAATATGATTATTGGTATTCGTAGGAATTGTTAAAAGGAGTATTAGGATTATTCATAGTCGTATTAGCCTTAGCATAAGTGTTAATAATGGAATTAATGCTGGCATTATCTTGAATATTCAGCAAGTTAGCAATGTCAGTACTAGTATTGGTGATAGCGTTACTTTCAACACCATAAGAGTATACGCATCAGTATCCGTAGGAGTATCAATACTTTTGTACATATTGGTGTGGGTACAAATAGTGTGAGTGGTATTAGTAATAGTGCTAGTGCTAGTGCTAATATTAATATGAAGATATGTGTTCGCAGGAACGTTTGTCTTAGTATTACTCTCGATTACATGAAAATACTAACAGATGAATACATGAATGAGTTAATGTATTTGTACTTTAGTATAATGGTATGTATATTTATGTACATTAGTATATGCAGGTGTGTATTAGTAGTGGCATAAGATACACTGTTATCAATATGAGTATAATTGTTCATATGCGTAGGAGTATTGACTTCAATATTAATCATTATTAGTGCTTGTATTATGCATATTCGTAATAGGCTTCATACAAGGGTAAATATGTGTATTAATGCTGGTATTAGCTTGGGCAGTCAGCAATGATCAATGTCAGTATTGGTGTTGGTAACAGTATTCGTAGGAGTATCAACAAAAACCAAAAAAAACTATATATATATATATATATTAACTAATAAATACTGATATTCCTCTAAGCAGACCTTGCCTTTGCTAGCGAGTCGTAGCGCATAGTCTGCCATCGGATGGGTGACAATCAGCCCTCCTGGTTTCCCAAATTTCCAAACTTTCCAAAGTTTCCAAAATTTCCGAGATTTCCGAAATTTCCAACATTTCCCACCCCTAGTGGACAGGATTTGTCCAAAACATAAGGGCTAACTTTTTGTAAATTTTTGATTTTTTTTTGAAAATTTCCAAAATTCCAAAATTTCCAAAATCCCCAGACCTAGTGGACAGGATTTGTCCAAAACATAAGGGCTAACCTTTTGGAAACTTTGGAATTTTGGAATTTTTGGAAATTTCGGAATTTTTGGAATTCCTGGAACTTCCTCGAAATTTTGGAAAACGGAAAGTTAGGGGCGAGAATTTTGGACATTTTTGAATTGATTTCGGGAGGGCTGATTGTCAACAGACCATGTGCTACGACTCACTTGAAAGGGCATGGTCTGTCAACAGGGGGGGCGACCATATAAAATATGTATATATATATATATATGTATACATACATATACATATGCACATATTTGTGCATGCGTGTGTATATATATATATATGTGCATATGGGTGCTTGGTCCTTAACTATGTTCCCATGTGTGCACCCGTGCCTGTGCAATGACATTGGTTTTAGTTTGGCTCTGGACCGCACCTGTTACAATGACGATCATCTTTCGGCAATGAGATTTTGGGCACCCTTGCGCAATGTCGTATCTGCTTGGTGTTGTGGACGGTAAACTTTTGCCGTAACCCTATAGCTGCGACCCATATCATCAGCGCTCGTGCAATGCTAATACATGTAATGTATGTACTAAGCATCAGCATGTAGAACAAGATATTCATTCCTAGGAAGTCCTCAAGACACTGAACACATCAGACATGACAGTGCATTACAAAACCTTCCAAGCCCCACCTTCGCATTCTGCCGGGCGAAACCGTATTGCGGGATGATGGCCTGTTTGCTGCCGAGCATGGGCATGAGAGGCTGTTGGGATAAAGGACGCTTGGACCTTGCTTTTCTGAGAGCACTCGGAGCCGCATGGAAGGATTACAACTGGATGGCCTGGTTGCAGCCCTGAGTGCCACACAGTCACACGATTCGCGGCACCTCGACCTTGCATCGTTCTCCTAATGTCGAAAGCCGAGTCGGCACGGTGCTTCGTGTGGCCCAAGCTTCCGGCGAATGGCATCCAACATGATCAACAACTCCTCGATGATTGACATGCAGGTCCAAGCTTGCAGGCGAATAACACAACTCGCCCTCAAACCGCATCTGATAATCATGCGTGCATGTTGTCGGGCCCTTCTGCATAAGAAGTGCAGGCGATGGATGGCACTTGAATCAATCTGTTCATCAAGCCGGAGGATTAGCATGTTGTACTAATATGCACAGCACAAGATGAAGCAAACAGCACTCTGAGCATTAAGGCTCTGACCACTAGATGCTCCTGAGGACCAGAACCGCCGTTGCATGTCGGCCTCATAAAAGAGACATCTGCCACTGCACACGTGTGGAAGTGTTGCCAACTTGTTAGGATCTGGATGAGCATAGATGTGCCTGTGTGCCCCAGTTACATCACTCCACTCAGCTGCATGAGAGCGGAAGAGAGCACTCCAAGAGCCAAGACCTCCAACAGCACTCCAGGACTCTCGAAAGCGGCAAGGGCCCTGGACTGTCGTAGGACGAGAGCACGAATTTCGGAACGTCCAGGTTGCCCAAAAAACACAGACCAGACTCTCAGACTCCGTCGAGGGCATGGTTTCGAAGAGGCATGCGATTGACCTGGTTTGCCCGCAACTGCCGCCAACATGGCGCAGGTGCAATTGCATTGCGAGCACATGGACCACCATGCTGAGGAAACTTATGGATGTAGGTTCAACTGCAAAGCTGTGGCTCCACCACCACAAACGGCTTAGGCTTGGGGCTGCTGGGGTTCGGGAAGCTGAGGTCGCGGCTGAATTATGAAGACATCACAGTCTCGAACGGACTCGTTCAGCACCACATTTACCTGCTCCAATTTCAAATGCTCTTACTTCCGTAGCTACTGGTCATGTCACTTCCGTGGCGTCAATGTCAGTACTGTTGCAGATGTATCCTGGCCTGCGAGTGTCATGAACAGCACCAAAAGTGCTGCGATGTGCGCTTATCGCAATTCTTACTTTGGAGGCGTCATGTTCTATTGGCTAACTAAGACTAGCCGCTTTGCTGTTTCTATAGCTAAGCTGATCAAGCCTTACTCTCTTTCCCAATGTTGGTAACGTGTAGCTCCCCTTGTTCTTAACTCTTTCCACTCGTCGTTGTTCTGACTGTCTCAGGTTCTGGTGGCGGTGGTGGTTGGATTGCATTGCTGGTGCTGGTGGTACTGCTCGCAATGCTGTCGCGGTGGTGGTGGCGGTGGTGGCGGCGTTGGTGGTGGGTGTGGTGGTGGGCGTAGTAACAGTAGTGGTTGTAGTAGTAACAGCAGTAGCAATAATTAGTAGTAGTAGTAGTAGTAGTAGTAGTAGTAGTAGTAGTAGTAGTATGTAGTGATCGTAGTTGTTGTAGCAGGAGTAGGGATTGCAGTCGCTCCCTCTCTCTCTCCCTCTCTCTCTCGCTCGCTCGCTCGCTGCTGGGGTTGAGTCTGCGAGCAGACCCGGGCCTGAGGCCCCCCCCTTCCTGCCTTGTTGGTGGAAGGAGGCATTGGGATCTGTTGTGGAGGATTTCCCCCGGTGGTATTTACAACAGGTAGAGTGCGTCTGGTGCAGAACCAACCCTCAGCCCTTTACTTTATGCCCGCATCCCGGCCTCACCTCTGCGCCCTCTTAGGCGGTTTCCTTACTCTCTCTCTCTCTCTCTCTCTCTTTGCTTTGCTTTGCTCTGCTCAGGAGCAAGGAGGGTAGCGTAGCCTCTCTCTCTCTACGGAAGACGACCAGGACGACGATGACGACTGCTGAACTACACATGTTTATGCAAGTTGAATCGAGCGATTCACAACCTCTCAAACAGCACCTCGCCGCACGGAAAGCGTCCCACGGTAGCTTTGCCGAGGGGGATGCCTTGGCAGAGGCCCAAGGTTTAGGGTGCCTCAGGGATGGCTCCGGGGTACCGACCTGTTCGGTGCCAGCAAGTTGGAGACTCAATTTTGACCCTTGCTTTTCTGGAACTTCTCAGCTTGCCGGTACTAAAATGTGACTTTCGCGTCGACTTTCGTGTCGGGGTGTCGGCTGACGCAAGCCAAGGATAAGATGCACAATGCTTCCGGACCTGATCCAACTCTTCGACACTTGTGGCTCTCCGAAAAGGCCCTACACGCCAGCCATACTTTCCAGCCTGTCCGGAGCGGATTTGGACCAGCCCGGACAGCTGGTGGAAAGGCAGAGCGTCGGCAATTCGAGACGATGTAACGTTGGCAAAGTTATGTGCCACAGACCTCTCGTAAGTACTCGTTCTGTTATAGCCAGGACACTCGCCCGCTGATGACCTCGTCGGTGAAACGCGACCCGGCTCTGGCCGCCATAGGGCTTCGGGCTTTTACAGACCCTGGACTGTCTACATCATGCTACTGATACTGCTGCAAAATGTGTGACCATTTCTCCGCCCGAAAAATAACCTGAGTCTACAAGAATCGGCGGGGCAGAACTGCTCTGCTCCAGATGGCTCGCACACCTGCCATCGTTCTACAGATATCATCAGACATCCCGAACAATTCTGCACGTCCGCTCATATGACAAGCGAGATGCGCTTGCCCAGGAGCATCACCCGTCACATGGGCACTTGAACAGGACGGCCTGCATGCACACGTCACCGGGTCGCAGGACCTTTCTATCACGGTCCAGTAACAGGCTGGGCCTGTGCTGCCGAGTCCTCCAGACTCTAGGCCACTCTTGGCCACTCTGGGCCTCTAGGCTTTGGGACCGACCTGTATCTTAACTATGCTAGCACACCGGCAACACCTGAGCACACTTGGGACCCGATGTAGCTTCAGAGTCCAGCTTCTTGCAGGTGCCGTGGCTGGATGCGCACACGGCCAGGCTTTGGTGCCACTGCAGGAAACATACCCTTGCACCGCCACACTCAAAGGATCGCTCAGCTGTGGTGGAGAGCTGGAACACACATGTGCTCGGTCTCCCTGCTCCAGACGTTGTTTCACGGGAGGCCCGAGGAGTTTGGAAAGGGTGCCCTTTCCCGCCGGCCATCCTGCCTTCGCACACCCTTGCTGACAGACTCCGGTACCAAAATCCAGCAAAGCAGGTAATGAAAAGTGCAGGGCTTACAAAGCAGATGATCCTCCAGTGGAGGGTTTAGAATCCGGAGAGCCAGAGGGTTTGTTTGCAAGATCGGACTTCCGGAAATTGAAAAGCCGGCTCCCAATGACAAGGCAAAAGCTTTCGTGACTTGCCATCTGGGAGTCCACTGAGAACCTTCAAAAAAAGATGACACCAAACGGAGCATGTGCGGCCTTCCTGTCTCGAAATCCGGTATTGGACTTTGGCAGTGCTGAGTCAAGACATCCCCTACCAGTACTTTCATCCATGAAACATCGGCTCCACCACAAAATCAGTGAGAACACCGCGTCCAAAGAGCAGCAGTGCGCTTTGCATAATCTGAAGACCTGAAAATCGGGTGGAAATGTGTGAACCTGGAATTGCAACCATTCAGACAATCATTGACTTCATGCAGCTCAGCTCTGCTCTGTCCAATGGTTCACAGATCAGAAAGCCGAAGGACCTGCTTCTTACCAACTGCCGAATTGCAGATGGCCGCCCCATTGCACGCCTCTTTGCAGCACGCGTGAACGGACAACTTAGGTGGAAAGCCGTCATCAGCCCCAAAGTTGTGGAGCGGCCCTGAACACATGCTTCGGGAACTCTGAAAAACGGAAAGTTCGCGAATCGCCATCGGAGTGTTGACGTTTACCCGCGATGGGCTTCAGCATGTTCTCCGATGGGCTCTTACTGCCTCTTCCCCAATCACAAGGACACTTCTAGATATCTTATGCGCTGAAGCTTTCCGGATTTCGGTTGTCCATTTTGTGATTGGGAAACTACTCTTACAGTGCTCCTCTCAGAGAAAGTCGTCCATGTGTCACTGCAGCGGTATGGATCACGCTTGTGCTGCCACACTCTCACACAAACGCACACGCGCGCACACACACACACACACCGCTCTCTCACACTCCATGATTGTCCAGAATTGCAGGGACAGAGGACGCACGCCAAGCATCGCATGGATGCTGCTTAATTGCGAGGGGGCAGTTTAGCCGTTTTGCCGACTCTTCAAGAATCTACGAGTTCAGAGTCGAAGTCTTCATTGGACTACAGACGTTGACTCTATTCGGCTCGATCCTTCCCCCATGCGTCGGATGACCGCCTGCATGGGTCAAGGTTCAAGGTTTGTGAGCTGAAACTTCTGCTCCCCTGAATACACGGACCCTTGATGAGATCATTTCTGTGAGCTGACCTTCGCACATTGAACTTGAAAACAACACCACGGAACACTGGGAGATTACAGGAAGTCTCCGTGGCAGATCTCGCACGCTGGGCTATTGCCCGGCATCCGTGTGGTCTCGCCACAGATGACTTCTCAGTCTCACGATTGAAACAGTGCCAAAATAAACAAACGGCTGCTGCTGCTGAAGCTGCTGCCGGCAACTGCTCGGAAAAGGAGGAATCGTCAAGCAATCCACTGCATCATAAATCCAGAGTGGGCACAGGAAGTGACAAGAAGGCAACATTGCACGGTTAGCGGGAAAATAGTTTCCCAAGTGTCCTCGTTCTGCGAGAGTGGCCTTCCTTTTCCTGAGTAGTTGTCTCCAAAAGAAAAGCAGCACATCGCAGGGACACCCACGAATGCAGAGGAGGTTTCCCCGAGACAGCACATCCGGCAGGACCAATTGACGAGGCAGTACGAAGCATCAAGTAAAGCGGCACTATGCTTACGAGGCTGCACAGGGTCGGCATGACTTCGCGCTGGCTTGTCAATCAGCCATACCATGCCGAGCCCATGTAGATCTCGGCTTAGGGCCCGACAAACATGCATGGCCTGGGACTGTCCTCTGAACCCAAGGGTGCTTCTCTGAATGTTTACGCTGATTTCCGAATCAATGCAGCATGAACCTGTACTTGTGAAGTCTGCCGAAAGAAACAGGAGTAGAAGAAACAAACAACTTTACTCCGGGTTGTTTCCATTCAAACGAAGCTCGGACACGGCTTCAATTAGATGGGGTAGGTATACACGACCTCTCAACTCCTTAACATCAAAGGGGCTTACATGCCTAAGCCCTTCAAATTTGTATATCAAGCAACTCAGCAGCAACTCAGCAACAACCATCCTCGGGCCCAGTGCAAACCTTTCTCATGTCTCAGAGTCTGAGGACAAGGTCTCCTTCGGCCTGGACAAAGACAGGCTTGACATGGAAGTGCATACCAGAACGAAAACAAGGATGACAGGCACGCGGACAAAACTCATCACCAGCATCTTAAGATCAACGAATGATGACGATAGCAACACACATAACTTCACGAGTGAACGAAGTAGTTGGTCTTTGTGGTGCTGGTGGTCGCGGTGGCGGCGGTCGCGGTGGTGCTTGCGGGGCGGTCGTGATGGTCGCCTTCGTAGTCGCGTAGCGGCGTAGCACTATCAACATAGGCAGCAGGAGGTGCGGCCGGCTACGGAGAGTAAACATTTGAAGTGCCACGGCCTGCACAGCGGCCAGCTGCATCTGCTGCCACATGTTCTGGAGCTTTGGCATCTTAGACAAGCTCGAAGCAAGGCAAGAACAAGAAAAGTAAGGCCAATCGAGAGTTGGATACATACGGGGAAATGCTCTTGCAAAGAGCTTCAGCTCGTCCTCAGACCCTCTCAGACCCTCTGCGTTAGTCCTCTCATAGGGCACAGTTTCTGGACCTCCAATACAGACGTCTTCTGCTCTGGGCCTCTTCGGGGACATGCGACCCGCAACTTCGACAGCTCCGGAGCACTCAATTGCTGAGAGCTGGGACATCATCGCCGATGTACGGATCCTTCGTGATTGGCATCGAGTTCCTGAGTTCAGAAGCCTCGTTCTTGCATCGCTGCCAATGAACAAAGCTGCGCCCTCACGCCTACCAAGCAGCTCCAGAACATGAAGGGGCTAACGATCATGCAATTATCGAAGGGAAACTGTTGACATCAACACTGTGGGTGCCATCCCATAATGTGCTTAACTTGACGCCAAGATGCATGCTTGGAGGGACAGCCTCGCCGATTGAGCTTGGGGACTATGGGTGGGGCAGGGCCTACGATGCATTGCAACGTGTAGGTCGTAGGTGGCTCCCATCCCATAGCAAACCGAGATGAATCGGAGCATGTTGGCGCAGATTTCGCCAGGTTCGAAGCACCAGGGCTCCCGCATGTGCTTGCGAATGCATGGTCAGCTGCCCCTTCAGCAGTTCCTTAGGCATTGACGTGGAGCATCCCTGCAAGCAAACCCGTCGCTCTACGGCCCTTTGCACTGCTGGCCAGTAACGATCTCGCGCTGCTGCTCCTGCAGTGTGACAGAAAACGAACCCGAAAGCATGTCGATGGTTCATGGCTCAACGTGGCAACACGAAGCAAGCACTAGATCAAGACCGGCCCGCTCCTGGATCAAAGTGTGCAGCTGCATTGTTGCTTGCTGCTGGCGTTGGACTTCCACTTGGATCCTGGCCAGAGTCTGAAACAGAACCGGATGTTTGGCTGAGACTACGTCGCTTGTGCGGAGGCCGACTTGAGTCCATGATTCTGCTACTAGTACCAGGACATTCCAACAACACTGCTGACATCTGACGTTGATGAAAAGCCAAGAGGCTTATCAGACACTTCAGCCTTCGGTTGTCCTGCAGCAGCTTCACGGCAGGCGGAAACAGCATTTCACAGAGCTTGGCCCGGAATCTCACAGCTGCTTCTCTTCCGCTTAGTTGTCATTCAAACTGGGGCAATAAAGCAAGTCCTGCATATCTGGAGACGAGGGGAAGTTCTGATCCAGGAACCTACATGCGGCAAGTTACATGAAACCTGAAGCATGCCCCTTCTCAGC